GTTGGAATCTGCGATTTGATGATGCCATTAGCAAGTTTGGTTTTATCAAGAATCCAGATGAATCTTGTGTATACAAGAAGGTCAGTGGGAGTGATATTGCATTCCTAGTCCTATATGTCGATGACATACTTCTCATTGGAAACAGCACAAAATTGTTGAAGTTCGTAAAGGGCTGGTTGGGAAAGTGCTTTTCAATGAAGGAATTAGGAGAGGCATAGTACATATTAGGCATCAAGATCTACAGGGATAGATCTAAGAGGATAATTGGATTAAATCAGATTACTTACATTGATAAAGTACTGGCTCGATTCCACATGGAGAATGCCAAAAGAGGGCATTTACCCATGTCCCATGGCGTAACTCTCAGCAAGAAACAGTGTCCACAGACACTTTGAGCGAGAAAGAATGAATCAGATCCCATATGCTTCGCTAATCGGATCGATCATGTATGCCATGATATGTACAAGGCCAGATGTATTGTATGTTCTGAGTGCAACGAGTCGATACCAATCGAACCCAGGAGAGGCGCATTGGACTGCGGCCAAGAAAATCCTTAAGTACCTGAAAAGGAACAAGGATAAATTCCTGGTTTATGGAGGCCACAAAGAACTAGTTGTTGAAGGTTACACTGACGCTAGCTTCAAGACTGACAGAGACGACTTCAAGTCACAGTCGGGGTATATATTATGTCTGAATGGAGGAGCGTTTAGCTGGAAGAGTGCCAAGCAGAGCACCACTGCAGACTTTACAACTGAAGCCGAGTACTTGGCCGCTTCAGAAGCTGCCAAGGAAGCTGTTTGGATTTGCATGTTCATTAGCGAACTTGGTGTTGTACCCTCAATCAAGGGGCCGATAAACCTCTATTGTGATAACAATGGAGCTATCACTCAGGCCAGGGAGCCGAGAGAGCACCAGAAGGTCAAACACGTGCAAAGGCGATTTCACATGATAAGGGAATGGAAATCCGAAGAATCAAAATTTGTAAGATCGGCACAGATGATAATGTAGCCTATCCTTTGACTAAACCACTACCTCAAGTGAAACACAACAAGCAGATTGAGGCGATGGGAATCAAGCATGTTGGAGACTGGCTTTGAAATTCCCTGTACATGTGTTTTAATTAAATAGGATATTTAATGTAAGACACTGTATTAAAACCATTCATTAATGGAGTAATTAATTTTGTGCAAAATTATCATTCACTCCATTACTATTTAACTGTGGTTTAGAATTAAATAGTGAGTCCATTCGATTTACGGAAATATTCAAAACAGGGTATCAAGACCATGTCTTGGATAAAGAAACACCTGTTAAGTGAACATTGAATATTTAAATCGAAAATTGTCCCTAATCGAGGTCATCTAACGGATGGACGATTGATGACCGCCATAGATTAGTGTGTAGTATGATTTACAGCACCGTTTCTTGTGCTGCGAGGACGTGACGGTCATAAATCATTTGCACAGGCACAGTTTGGAACTGTACTGGATAAGACCTATGAGAGTACTTTAAGAATTTTAAATTTTTTCATAAGTACATTTCTCATTATGACTATCGGAACTTGTTTCCTCCGACCATGAGTATTGTGAAGTTTTCTTGTTTGAGTACTAGACTCTTTGATGTTTCCTAACGTCTGCCGTAATTGGGGATCATAACGGGAACACTCAGGAGACTATGTCCTCTTAGTAAGAGGAACTTACAATACAAGACTGGGATTGTCCCCCTACTAACAATAGGGAAAATGTTTTGTTGTTTACAAGGCCGCTCGAAGAGCGAGACTGTGAAAATGCATGGCCGTGCTCAGATGGATTTTAGAAATCATCTTCTTATTGACAGTCGAACTCGGAGATCGAGAATTACTTCTAAACGTAATAAGGATGACAAAGAATCTTACCTTATAGTTCACGAAGAAACATTAAGTGACATAGGAAATGGGCTATACACTGTATGCACACTTGTCCGGAAGGACAAGTGGGAGATTGAAAGGAATGGTGTCCTTCCAACAAGTGTATTCTTCCGATAGAGGGTTCAGAATTATTACAGAGCAAATTCTTCAGTAAGGTCAAGTGATCGGAATGCCTAGGTGGAGGCCGCTTCCGATTAGTAATATTAATGTACAATTGATGTTACAACTTAATCTTAACTGAACCCTTCGGGTCGAACCCAATCGAACCACAGATCCGAGACGACGAATTAATCCGAAAGGATTTAATGAGTCAGCAGAGTTTTACGAATACAGACGTCGGATATCGAGCCTAGGGCGTCGAGACCGAGCGTCGCGAAATCACAAAGCAACAAGTATGAACATAGCCCTAGCACCACACTGGACTAGCCATGTGGATGCTAGGCTAGTTCAGGCTAGCATGCACCTAGCATGGCTAGGCGCAAGCCTAAGCACACTAGGTGTGCTAGGTGCACCATCGCAGCGTAGGCGCGCTATGGCACACCATCCCAGCCCATTGCAAGTGTTATGCGCACCATAGCACACCATCGCAGCCCATCGCAAGTGCTATGCGCACCATAGCACTCCATCGCAGCCCTTCGTAAGTGCTATGCGCACCATAGCAACCCATCGCACCATCGCATCACAAGCACATCACCATCGCATGGCTAGGCCTTAGCCCATTGCATCATCGCAACAAGCATGCCTGCGCACATGCGTGTCTTCGCATAGCACTGCATCGCAGCATGGGTGCTTGGGTGCTAGGCACCATCGCAGGCACCACGCACAAGCACATCACCATGGTAAGCCTTGTGTGCGTGTGTATGTGCGTGGAGGGCATCGCCGCAGCAGTAGCATGCGAGTGTGTGCGAGGTTGGCAAGGCAAGGGGCTAGCATGCGTGGCGTGCTAGTAGCACGCATGCTGGCGTGTGTGCGTTGGCGAGGGGTGATGCGTGCCAGGAGCCAGCACTAGCGCCTAGCTAGCAAGCAACATCACCTGGCTGGCTAGCGAGCAGCAGCGCTAGGCGTGCTGTGCATGCGAGGGAGCTGCTAGGCAGCTTTGTGCTAGCTGGCTGGGCTGGCTGGCAGTGCTAGCTGGCTGCCAGCCCAGCAGCCCTTAGTGGTGGTTTTGTGAGGAGAGTGGGGACCAAGGCTTAGAGCCATGCCTTGGGGAGCAAGGCAATGGTCCCCCCCTAAGGTTCATGGTCCTCACCTAACTCTCTCTACCCTTTTGCCACTTGTTGCCTTGTGATTGCTTTTGCTTAATTATTTATTTTGGAATTAAATAAATTATTGCATTTGCACATGATCCCACATTGATCATGAAAAGGGGGTTCAAGTCCCCATTCTCTATAAATACCCACTTGGTTGGGATTTTGAGAAGACAACCTTGAGTGGAATTAAAAAGGCAACTCTAAGTAAGAGTAAACCTTTGATTCGTAAAACTCATAATTATTTTTTCCGGGTCTTGACTAACCTTCAAGACTTAGGACACTCCGGTTGGGTCGAAGGTACGATCCGTCGGAGATCTCGTGTTTTCGGGATTTTGAAGTAAGAGCTCTTTGGGAGTAAAGCACGCGACAAAGGTATAATTCTTGTTCTTAATCTTGTTTGATTAAGTTTAATACGCTTGTTAATTGTTTTAATTAAGGGGGCGGGTCATGGTGGGTTTCCTTCCGCGTAGTGTCGGGTCACTACGAAACGCTACATTTTGGTAATTCCCTTTTGTTTTGGTTTGTTAGGGTTTTAGGAATTTGAATTTGATATACATGTGTTGTGTTGTAATTTTGGATTATTCATTTATGTTGTTTATTGGAAAGGTAAGAAATTTTTTACTAGAGTGCTCTCAACTATGATTAATGGGTGGAATACGAATACTCGAATTACAGCTTTTTCGTGGTGTCGAGTTGGGGGTGATAATGTGAATGTAAAGCATGGTTATTTTGTTTTAGAGTACCCATATTTGCCTTAGGAAAAAGACGTGGATTGTCAAGATAAGTGAGAAATGTGTGTTGCTGAATTTGCTATCAACTACTGGTATGTATGCTGGGTGGAATGTTCAGCTGGTTTCGTGGTGTTAATTTTGTAGATTTATGTACTGACTACTGAGAATATAAGATAGATTGTACTGGATTGTCAAGCTTCAAGCCTTCAAGCTTTGTTCTTGAGTGTTTCTTCCTTTCCGGGGATGACTAGGTAAGGAGGTAAGGGGTGGTTCAATTTGGTTTTGTATTAGGTGATGAATTGTAATTCATCAAGTGTTCATTGGATATTGTTTGTTGCTGAATGCTGAGCTTTTTGTTTGATGGGTAGTTTTTGGCCAGTGTACATACTCCCACAATTCACTCCTTTTGTATTATATCATGCATGATGAAGTCTGGTCCTAAGTATGTCGTTTTAACGTAGATCATGAAATTTTGGTTTTGCTACTATTTAGTTGAATTTTGTACTTTTGATCGTTGATTTATGATTTTAAGATCTGACACATTTAGTTTATTGGTTGGATCGTACGATTGTAGTGATTTTGTTTGTAGATTTCATATGTGTTGTTATGTTAATACATGACCTAAGTTTGTTGTGATGGAACAGTATCGATATTTTGTACGTTTTCAATATTAGAAGTATGATATTTGAACAAGCTAGGAAGTTGAACCATAATTTATCATAATGTAATAGCCAATCAAGTTCTAATGTGACATGTGATCATGATGCACTAATAATCTATATCATCTGGCTGATTCAAAGATAAATTTAAGACTGATCAGACTTTTTTTTCCACTAATACAGTGGTTAAAGGAGGTTTTTGTTTTAAGGAACAATGGACTTACAATGCAAAAATGTTCTGGACTACAAGATCCATAGCAAGTGTCAAAAGTATAATGTTAGATCTTGCGTGGTTGGAAGATTGAGTTTCAAATTTACTATCATTTGGATCCAATCTTATTTATTGACGATGTTTTCTTCAGTTTATCAAACTACCTCTTTTACTTTGTAAATGTTTGTATTTCAGAATATGTTGAAGGATACATTTGCTAATTTTACTAAGCAGAAAATTTTGTCTCAGTCGTTAATGTGGTCTCGAGCTTCTTGGTGTGTCAGCATAACTTTGAATACTAACTTTTGTTTGTTTTAATCTGGTGCAGGTCTGTCATTGAAGTTCGTAATGGCCTGACTTTCCTTGACCTTATAGTTAAGCAAATTGAGGTACAACATTCTCCTCTTATTTTTTTTTTTATTTTTTTTTTTGTTATTTCTGTATATTATGATTCTTGTTGGCTCTTACCCTCTTTTGGATGATACACAGAGCCTTAACAGCAAGTATGGATCCAAAGTGCCTTTGGTTCTGATGAACTCATTCAACACATATGATGATACACTTAAGGTAAAGTACCCTTTTTTTTATGTTCCGTGCTGTTAGTCTTTTATCTTGTGGAGCATCTTTTCAAGACTTCAAACTCATTGCATACAGATTGTTGAAAAATACACCAATTCAAATGATGAGATTCACACATTTAATCAGGTATGTTACTCTAGCTGAGTTGATGCCTCTTGCTTTAGGTACCTCAGTATGGTGACGTGTTTCCTCTAATCATATCTTTACTCACTGGATTTTAATTACAATTCAGAGTCAATACCCTCGGCTGGTTGTTGAAGATTTCTCGACATTTCCATGCAAAGGTCAATCCGACAAGGATGGATGGTATTATTTTACGCTGATATTGGCCTCAATTATTTGCATGTTGTGTTTGTTGAATGTAGATGCTTATAATCTATCTCATCTCATATATGTTCTGTATTTGGTATAAAATTTGATCTGATGGAATAAATATGTACTTTCTTTTGTTGAATTAAATGTTTGATTTTGGGAGGTGGGTTTTAGAAATTAAGAGCAAATATTGCCTGGTTTTTTTAATTTTGGTTGATATGCTTCTATTTGTGGGTTATGACTTTTGACTGTGAAATTGAGTTGATTGTGAAAAATTCATGTCTAACTGAGTAACTGCATCTATAGCTAATTCTTTCACTTATATATTTGAGGGAATTTTTTTCTTCAAAAAAAAAAAATCTAAGGAATTTTTAATTTTTTGTATATTTTTAGTATGTTAGTCAGAGTAGGAGAGAAATGGGGAGAGGAGAGAAAACCGGTATGGGGCTCACCATTGTTAAATAGCTAAATGAAAAAATCATGAACCAATAACGATGTGATTTGAGTTTAGGATGTATTAAAAGTCTAAATTATTGATTTAATCCCTAAACGATGGTGATTTTTCTTGGAAAGTGGAAGTTTTGCTTGTTATGTTAGGGTGATCATATTAAGCTAGTGGTACATTTGGTAGTATTTTAGAATCAAGAGTATTATTGTGTTGAACTATAGATTATGCTTAGTAACTCGATTTTAGTTTAAGATGTACAAAAACTGCAGAAGCACCCAGCTTGCAGTCTGAGCAGAAACAGCAGCAAAAGCAGTAGGTTGGGCAGCAGAAACAACAGCTGGCAGAAACAGCAGCAGACATAACCAACAATAAGGACCTGCAGGCGAAAACTAGCAAGCCACGCCAGCAACACCTTTACAGCATTCCAGCAACACAACACCAGCAATACAGGAACAGCCAGCACCAGTAACAGATATCAGTAGCAACAGGTTGGAGAAAGCAGGCTGTGGCAGAACTAGCAGATAGACAAGGAGCAGCTGACTAGCTGAAGACCAGCAATGCCACAGCAACAGAATCCAGCATCAACAGCCAGCACTAGTACACCAATGGCAGCACCTGCAACCAGCAACAGGCTGGACAAAACCAGAACAACCCCAATAGCAGCTTGCACACACAGAGCTGCAAAGCGGAAGCAAGCAAAGACTTTTATTATTATTATTATTATTATTATTATTATTATTATTATTATTATTATTATTATTATTATTATTATTATTATTATTATTATTATTATTATTATTATTATTATTATTATTGGCATTAGGTATAGTGAACCGTGGCATTAGGGTATATGCATTGTGTGACATTAGGTATAGGGAACCGTGGCATTAGGGTATCTGCACCGTGGCATTAGGTATAGGAAATCGTGGCATTAGGTATTATAGTTATTGCCACGGCAATAATGTTGTCGTTGCAATAGGTAATGATCTAACGCCACGGATCATTGATGCCGTGGCATTAGGTGTCATATGCCGTTGCATTAGACCCATTGCAACGCTAGCAGATGTCACGGTACATGGCTGTTGCATTAGGCATAATACCACGGATTTTAACGCCTAATGCAACGAATTTGAGGGTTACAATAGATAAAAAATGTAGTAGTGCCTGCACCAACTGTTGAAAGAATTCAAAGACATTTTTGCCTTTGAAGTGGAAGAGATGCCAGGCATCGGCCCAGATCTTGCTGTCCACAAGCTCGCTGTGGATCCAAAAAAGAAGCTTGTTAGGCAAAAGAAAAGAAATCACGACGAGGAGAGATCTCAGGCGGCTACTGCCGAGGTCAAGAAGCTGATGGATGCCGAATTCATTCGGCAATGTCACTATCCGGATTGGGTAGCAAACGTTGTTCTTGTGAAAAAGTCGAATGGTACCTAGCGCATGTGTATTGATTACACAGATCTGAACAAGGCATGTCCGAAGGATAGTTATCCACTTCCAAAGATCGACAGTCTGGTCGACTCTACAACCGGCCATGCCTTGATGAGCTTCATGGACGCCTACTCAAGCTTTCATCAGATACCCTTGTGGAGAAAAGATCAAGAGACGACGACATTCGTCACTAATCAAGGGTTATTCTGTTATACAGTCTGGGATGAAGAATGCGCCTGGTACTTTCCAACGAATGATTAATATAGTCTTCATTAATCAAATTGGGAGGAATGTAGAGGCGTATATTGATAACATGATAGTCAAATCTAAGCTACAGACGGATCACCTTGCTGACCTCCGAGAAACATTCACCACCCTCAGGCGGCATAAGGTCATGCTTAATCCCAAGAAGTGTGTCTTTTGTGTTGAGTCTGGGAAGTTTCTCGGATTTTTTATTGATCAAAGGGGGATAGACGCCAATCTAGAAAAGGTGCAGGCGGTAATTAACATGAAGTCACCCCGCATTGTCAAAGAGGTTCAAAAATTAACCGGTTGCCTGGCGACATTGGGGAGATTCCTTAGCCGGTCAGGTGACAAGTGCCTCTATTTCTTTCAAGCAATATAAAAGAAGACTAGATTCGAATGGGGGGAAAACGCTGAGGCGGCATTTCAGAAATTGAAAGAGCACTTGCACTCGTTGCTAAGACTGGTTAGCCCTCAGTGCCATTCTCCTAGCTGAGAGAGATGGCATTAAGCTCCCGGTCTATTTCATTAGCCATTTTCTTTGAAATGCTGAACTACGGTACCCCTTGGTTGAAAAGTTTGGCCTTGCCCTTTTCATGGAAATCAATAAGTTGAAACCCTACTTTTTGGCTCATCCGGTGGTGGTCTACACAGATCAACCCCTCAAGCGGCTAATGACAACTTTGGAGTCATCCGGTAGGATGCTTAAATGGGCTATTGAAATGCAAAGCCTTGAAATCACTTTTGAACCTAGAAAGGCAGTGAAGGGTCACGCGTTTGCCGACTTCATTGTTGAAATGACAAGGCCGGCTCAGCCGAAAACTCTTGATCAAGTTTAGAAAGTGTATGTAGACGGGAGCTCTACAATGAACGGCTGTGGTGCAGAGATAATATGCCAGTCTCCAAAAGGGGAAAAATATGAATATGCACTACGGTTCAAGTTTCAAGCCTGGAATAATGAGGCGGAATATGAGGCCCTTCTAGCCAGTATCTGCTTGTGTAAGGCGGCAGGGGCAAGAAAGGCTGACGCTTGCTCTGATTCTCAGTTGATCGTTAGCCAATACCATGGTGACTACGAGGCCACCTTTCCGGCTATGATCAAATATCTTCAGGCAGTCAAAAATGAGGCCGGGACACTCGACGAAGTTCATCTAAGTTAAGTGCCAAGGTCAGAAAACAATCAGGCGGATGCACTCTCTAAGTAGACATCATCCGCCTCCTGTGATACGCCTAGGTCAGTCTTTTGGGAAGTCATGAAGAGAAGTATTGAGCATGATCCCATTGGAGTTCTTGATCGTAGCTCGACCTGGATGGATGGCATCCGGGCTTATCTTGTTGGGTTTCGTAGAGTCCGACTCTACGCGGAAGAGAAACCCGCCCAAGACCCACCCACTAATTAAGGCAACTAAGAATTTAATCACAAATTAAACAACAATTAAGAGAGAGAGAGAAAGAAAAGACATTCATACCCTTGGCGCGTGCTTCGCTCGATCCCGAGCTCTTACTTCAAAACTTGAACCGCGCAAATGCGAAGGTCTCCAACGGCTCGTATCCATGAACCCGACCCGAACGGTCCTAGTCCCGAAGGTTAGTCGGGACCTGACCAATAAAAACTAGAGTTTTACGAACTTAAGGTTTTCTCATTTTTCTAAGGAGATGCCTTTTTAGTTCCACTCAAGTGTTCTTCAAAATCCCAAAACTTGGGTATTTATGAGGAAATGAACCTTGATTTCCCATTCTCAATCAATGTGGGAGATTTGCAATTTTCCCCATTTTATTTTAATCAAAACAAAATAAAATTGCTATTCAATCACCAAGTTACAAGTGGCAATAGGAGGAAAGGGAGAAGGTGAGGACCACTAAGGGAGGGGACCAACCCACCTTGCTCCCCAAGGCAAAGACCAAGCTTTGGTCCCCACTTAGCAAAACCGGACCACCAAGCCAAGTGGCTGGCTTGCAGCTTGCCTTGGTTGTCAGCTGGCGTCTAGCACCAAGGCTAGGCAGCCTTGCCAGCCAGCCGCAAGCATGTGCAGCCAGCCAGTGCATGCGTGCTGCTAGCGAGCCACACATGCTGGGCTAATGCCTATGTGCTGCTAGTTAGGCTGTTGCTTGGTGCGTCAATGCTGGGCGCTGCTATGCGAAGCACAAGCACATCCCAACATGCCCAGCACGCTGCTGGCTGGTGCGTGGTGCTATGCGATGCTGCAGCTAGCAATGCGCTAGCGCCAGGCCCTAGCATGCTGCTTGGTGCGTGTCATTGCCTAGCACCACGCATCGCCCAGCATGCCAAGCACGCTGCTATGCGATGCTGGCGCTTGGTGCATGGCAGTGATGGTTGGTCGCCTAGCATGCTAGCACGCACGCAAGGCTGCGATGCTCGCGATGGCTAGCTAGTTTGCATGGCCCTAGCACGCCTAGCATGTTAGGCGTGCGGTTAGCATTGCGATGCGCATACTAGCTCGAGATAGCCTAGCCCTCGCATGGCTAGGCCAATGCGAGGCTACGGCCTAACTCAAACTTGTAACTTGATTTAGTTCACGTCTCGTCGAATTCTAAATTCGACTCGACTTGCGACGCTCGGTCTAGACGCTCTAAGCTCGATATCCGACGTCTTTGTTCGTAAAACTCTGACGACTCATCTTATCCTTCGGATTGATTCGTCGTCTCAGATCGAATGTTCGATTGGGTTCGACCCGAAGGGTTCAGTCAATATTAAGCTATAATATTAATTGTTCATTAATATTACTGATCGGAAGCGGCCTCCACCTAGGCATTTTGATCACTTGACCTTACTGAAGAATTAGCTTTCTAATAATTCTGAACCCTCTACCAGAATAATACACTTGTTGGAAGGACACCATTCCTTTCAATCTCCCACTTGTCCTTCCGGACAAGTGTGCAATTAGTGTATAACCCTTTTCCTATGTCGCTTAATGTCTCTTCATGAACTATAAGGTAATATTCTTCGTCATCCTTATTACGTCCAGAAGTGTTTCTCGATTCCCGAGTTTGACTGTCAATAAATAGATGATTTCTAAAATCCATCTGAGCACGGCCATGCATTTTCACTGTCTCGCTCTTCGAGAGGCCTTGTAAACAACAAAGACATATTCCCTATTGTTAATAGGGAGACACTCCCAGTCTTGTACTACAAGCTTCCCTTACTAAGAGGACCTAGTCGCCTGAAAGTTGCCGTTATAATCCCCATTTACGGCGACGTTTGACAACATCAAAACAACTAGTACTCAAATAAGAGAACTTGTAATACTCATGGTCGAGGAAAAAGGTTCCGATAGCTATAATGAGAAATATACTTCTGACGATTTGATATCTCTTAAAGTATTCTCATAGGTTTATCCGGTACAGTTCCAAACTAGTACCTGTGCAAATGATTTATGACTATCATGTCCTTGTAGCAGAAGAAACGGTGCTATAAATCATACAACACACTAATCTCAAGTGGTTATTAATCGTCCATCGTTTAAATGACCTCGATTAGGGATAATTTTCGATTAAAATATTCAATGTTCACTTAACAGGTGTTTCTTTATCCAATACATGGTCTTGATATCCTGTTTTGAATATTCT